ATTCTAATTATTGAGGCTCCTATATTGTCAGACCTGTCACAACTGGCTCTCCATCGTGCTTCTTGTCCGCACCAGCTGCTTCCTTGACTTGTCTCCTCCCGCTTAAAAAGGGTCCCGGAGCGTGAGATACGGTATAGGGCTTAGGGGCTTAGGGGTTTTCGGGTTTAGGGTTTAGGGATACCCTAAACCCTAAACCCACAACCCTAAACCCTAAACGCTTGCAAGCGCTTTGTCTCGTTGCCAAGCCGTTAACGCGTGTGTTGCGCGGTGTGCTGCCGGAGGGCTTCCGTATCGAACCCCAAGCGGTAGAATGCTTGCAGGTGGCAGCCACGGGGGTTTAGGGGTTTAGGGTTTAGGGTCTACAGGGTTTAGGGATTTCAGGTTCGATGCATAAGGGGGTTAGGGTTGAGGATGAACCTTCAGGGCGTTCGTAGTTTTTGAGGGGTATAGGGTTTGCAGCTGAAGCGCCTCAGGGTTTAAGTTTCAGAGGGCTTGGGTTGTCTTTAATGGCTTAGGGTTGAGGTTTTAGGGTTTAGGGTTGGGTTTCGGGTCCAAGAATCTAGGATTTCGGGGTGCAGGTTTCTGGAGGTTGGGGTTTGGGTCGTGGTTTGCGGGGTGTAGGGTTTCGGAAGTTTGGGATTTGATGTTCGCGTGAGGCTCCGGCTGTTGAATGTTACGACTTCGAGAGTCTAGCGTAAATTAATCAGGTTTAGGGTTTAGGGTTTTGGGTTTAGGTTTAGACGCTTCCCCACTATGCCTATGCCCCAAACTCCATGTTGTATGTTGTACTGTTTAACGCTACTGCATCTATAAGTCCAGAAGCCGAAACCCTCAATCCTAAACCCTCAACCCTGAACCCTAAACCCTAAAGCCTAAACCCCTAAACCGGAGCCCAAGACCCCAGCCCTGAACCCTACACCCTAACCTGTTTAGGAACTGTCAAAGGGTGCAGAGACTGAGACCTTGCAGGAGAAGTCGCGAACGCTGAACGATGGGGAACAGCTCGTCTTTTCCATTCAGGACACGAGCCTAGGGCTTTGGATTTGTTGACATTGGGGGTCGATGGCATCGGATTCTATCGCTGTTGATATCGGGACTCTATGCACTCATTGGGGGGGGGGGGTGGAGAGTCATGACTGCAGAAGCCTGAGTAATCACCGTTATCATTCCGTAGGGTTCCTGGTTATAACTGTACTATAGAGGAGCCCAGAGCCCTATACTATAAGATTAAGGCTCCTACATACTTACAACTTTAGGGCACGACGGTGGTGTGTATAGCTGCTCTACTCCAGCATGTGGTTGCAACCGTGGCAGAACATCAGCCTCAAGAACGTGCCCGACGTGAACATGTTCGGAGGAGTGGATCCGTTTGTGGAGGCTCGCATACCCTAAGCCCTAAACCCGAAACCGATACATCCTCGACCCTAAACCATAACACCCCTGGATCCTAAAACCCTGGATCCTAAATCCTAAGGCCCGAAGCCTACGCCATTTAGGGCCTAAGCCGTAAACTTGGGCTTAGCAGCGACAGGCTATGATCTTCCAATTACGCAGCACGGACGGGTTTCATATCTATCATGTCACATGCCTTTGTCTTCCTGTGTACGTATCCTGTGCTATACCTGTAGTAGAGAGCAACTGCACTATAGTAGACTTACAGCATATTTTCCGTCTACCAAAAGCCTACATATCAAGTATGAGCAGCGGATACTGAGAGTATAGTTCAAGACCCCGAAGCTCTGCCACAGCCCTAAACCCTAAACCCTAAACCCTAAACCCTAAACCCTAAACCCTACACCTGTTTGTTGACGTCAAGGGTTCCTGATGCAGATTGAAGATTTGCGAAGTTGCTTACCGGTGGAAGCCAGGTGCAGACGGGCTTCAACAAAGATCCGACCTCGCTTCTCTGCGCAATAACCATAGCCGAGAAACACTGGGTTTCTGTAAGGGTTTCAGGGTTCAGAGTTCAGGGTTTAGGGCTTAGGGTTCAGGGTTGAGGGTTCAGGGTTCAGGGTTCATAGTTTTCAGAGTTTAGGGTTTAGGGTTTAGGGGGTTTCCTGTAAGGGCTCCTTTAAGGCTTGGTGATTGCAAGAATCCCATGGGAGGGCTTTAGGGTTTCGGGTTTAGCCGTTTACGGGTTTAGGGTTTGGAGTTCAGGGGTTTAGGGTTCAAGCAGGTTTAGGGTTCGATGTGGCTTGACAGGTACTTAGGTATTCTCTTAGAGCAACCTGTTAAGGACCTGGTTCCACTGCATGCTATGACACAAACAGTTCTAGCCGGGCTGACTTTCATTGGGATAATGCATTCCCACGGTCTTTGGTTACCCAGGTGCTGCTCTCAGCTGCTTGTGGACTCCGGCCTTTCGTTTCTCCGGGGATACAATTTCCTGGCCACCCATTGCATGGATCGTAAGGTCACGGGCTTTAGGCTCCGACCAAAGCTACATTTCCTTGGACATATCGTTCATGACCTGCAGTTGCAACTTTCCAGTGGGGCGTCGTTCACGCTTTCGCCGGCGATCGCCCTGTGCGAACAAAGCGAAGACTTTATCGGTCGCCAATCGAGAGTGTCACGAAGGGTATCGGCGAGAACGTGCTCAGTTAGCACCACTCAGAGGTATCTGGTAAAGATGAGATTCCCGCTGGAGAAGATGTTTCCGAAGAAGTGAAGGGAAAAAGAGAGCTTTCTGAATATGCCACACATAGCAAGCTGCGAAGAGTATGTGTTTATGAGCCAGGCTGGAATACACGATTGAGTTCTTTACGTAAGATTGTGCTTTTTTGCCGGATATTGTGCTTATTCAGCTCTGAAGCAGCAATGGTGGTTATTCGGCGGGGGCGGGTTGTTGAGGTAGGGGTTTAGGGGCTTAGGGTTTGGGAGTTTAGTGGCTTAGGGTTCAATCAGGTTTTAACTACTTTAAAATAAAGAGCCCTAAACGCAAAACCCTGTACGTCAGCATCCGCGATTCATTCGCACTATACAGATCCCAGCCACTACTTCCTGCTTCCTGCTGTTGGCCTTCTTCAATCCACGTTTACAATAGTCTTTGGTGCAAAACGTTAGGAGACTGCAAAAGCCTAACGGCCCATCCAAAAGGAAAGAACAATCGACCCTGAACCCTTGAACTCTAATTAGACCCTTTATATCCTAAAACCCTAAGCCCCGAACCCTCAACCCTTAATCTTGAACCCTACGCAACCCACAACACCTCGACCTCCGCTAGCCTCCGAGGGCTTCAAGTAAGGCTTAGGGTTTAGGGTTCAAGTGCCTTGTTTCTGGGACCTGTAGGAACTGTATCTAGTATCTCGGGCTCGAAATCTTCATTTGCTGACTTCGTGAGGTGTTCTTCAGAATTTTTGAGGTTTGTGAGGGTCTGAAGTTTACCTAAGGCTTTGGGGTTTAACCCTGAACCCTGCACGCTAAATCCGCAGCTCTAGTTGGCTTTGGGATTGCTGAGCCGATTGTGCTCAAAGACAATCTGAATCTTGAGCGCTAAACCCTAAACCCTAAATTTCAATCTTGACAGTGATGTGAACGACTGAAGGGTTGTTAGCATCATAGCAAAGACGACAAGCAGCAACGGTAACCGGTTGGTGGATTGTGAACCAACCCTATTGGAACGCGTAAGTAAAGATGCCTAAAAGGGAACGCTTGGCCTTATAAGGACTTTAGACCGTAAAGCCCTAAACCGTAGACCCTAAACCCCGAAATACACCCGTCAAATAACCCTCAACTCCACTCAGGAAAGGGAAGACCACCGCATCTCCAGAAAAATCGGCAAAGACAGAGGCAAGTCGCTGGAGCCAGTAGAGCATAGGGTGTAAGGCTCATAACGTTTGGGGGTTACGGCTACGGTTCAGGATTTTAGGTGTCAGGTGTCCCCTTGCTAGTCGTTGTATCATTTGCGTTTACTGGGCAACTTTAAACCCTAAACCCTAAACCCTAAACCCTAAGCCCTAAACCCCTTTCAAATATTCTGGGGTCTAGGTGTTCGGCTTCTATGAGGGCTATAGAAGGTATCTACAGATTTTAGGGTTTAGCATAAGGCTCACAACAATTAGAACAGGGTTTGGGCTATTTTGTACTATAGTTATAATATGGAGCCCCCAAAACCCTCTTGAAATTATTAAGGCTCCTACAGTGCAAGGCTTCGGGTTTGCAGCTTACTTAGTTGTTCTTAGGGCTTGTTGGGGATTACCTGCAGCCCACAAAACTGTTCGGGTTCTCCTTCATATGAGCCCTAAACCCTAGTTCCCTCTAATGCTACTGGTTGGGGCCATTACAAAACTTGAACAGGTTTGGGGTTGTCTACCAACTCCCCCTCTCAATAGCGGATTACACGGTTTGGAGGAAACCCTAAACCCTAAACCCTAAACCCTAAAAACAGCTTAAAGCCATGCTCTACCGGCTGCTTTATTGCACACGGGGTGTGTATTTTGAGTTTCCAAAACTGCGAGTTGTGCTTTTGTTTTTAGGTGTTTTGGGGTTCGGGACTGCTTTGTTTGGGAGTGGCGGCATCGGTCATGAAGGGCTTGGCAGATGAGATCAACAACAGCGGATGGTTTTCCAGCTCGTGCACTTCGAAGTGGTTTAGGGCTTATCGGTTTGAGGTTTAGGAACCCTGAAGGCTAAACCCCACAAGCCGCTTCAAGCACTGTGGCACTATGGAACTGATACCTTCCCAACCACGACCCATGGCCCAAAATGCTGCAACCGTTGAAACAAACTAACCCCAAGCCCAACGCTCCAAAACACTCGCCACAGCCCCGATTCCCAACATGCCCTGCCACTTTTGCAAGCCGCAGATGCTGCAGAGTCAGAACAACCCGAAGTTCACCACAGGACTCGAGCTGACCAAGGTGCCGCAGGGAGGTTTTAGGTTTCTAGGGCTAAGGTGTAAGTGTAGGGGTTTAGGGTTTCGGGTTTAGGCTTCGGGGGCTGGGTTGGGCAGGCTTTGAAACTTGGAACATTAAGATTACACATTAGTCCAAGGCTTTAAACCCCCGAGGCTCAAACATAGCGCCTGCATAGTTATTACAGGAAAATTAGTTTATTGATCCACGATGTGCTTGAAAATCCCGGGGCCCCAAAGCCCGGTTCTAACACTAAGACCCGGGGCGCTTTTGAGCCTTAAACCAATATTAGGGCTTAGGGTTTAGGGTTTAATCACAAATCGAGGGAGTAAGGGATTTCGGAAACCGTTTGAGATTTGAGGTCGGGTCGGTCCAGATCGGGGTCGACACCAAGCTTTAAGAACGGAGCCCTGGTGAGGATTGAAGTTCAGGGATTGTGACAACACTTGCCATGTGCTAAGGGAAGAGGTAAAGGTATAAGTACAATGCACGCACAATAGTAGACCCTGAGCCTGAGCCCTCAACCCTACACCCTAAATCAGTTGCCCTCGAAGCCAGACGCCCAAAACTCAAAACTCCCAAATCCTGAAACCTTACACCCTACAGCCTCATATTAACCCAAGAGCCATCGACTTTGATTCAGGGGAGTTTCAGACAGTACGTGACCCCAGCTATCACCAACAACAAGATCCTACAATCAAGACCCATTATGTAGGTTTAGTTAAAAAGACCCCCTAAACCCTAAACCCTAAACCCTTCATCCCAAACCAGGTGTACAACCAGTCGGCGGGCCTGGCGCGAAGTTGTCCAGCTCGTTTGCATGTTAAACGCCGGTGCTTTACTTGTTGGCTGTTGTGTGTGGCTGGTACTTCCTGATTCGTCGTGTGTCTACTGTTACTTTAGGGTTTAGGGCTGCTGCCGGTGTTGCGATATTTCGTTTTCAGGGGTTTAGGATTGAAGGGTCGGTTAGAATGTTAGGGGTTTGGGGTTTAAGCTTCGCAAGGGAATACATGAATCCAATGTACGGTTGCCACCTCTGTTCTCTGACTTTCCTGTTGGTGAGTTATTGTGTTTTTTGCTTGGACGTCACATGTTCAAAGAACCATTGACGGCCTCAACCAAACACACCTTTGGGTGTTCTACGAGTACTTGTACTTGGGCGCTCCAGACTAACTGTAAGCCCAAATGCCACACCTAAAAGGGCCATACTAGAGAATACTTCAAGTGTTTAAGTTTGTGGCTGACTTCAATGAGCCACGAAGTACTTCCCTAAGCAGCTCTAAACTCTGACCCGCAACCCCAAACCTACAAGCTATATCCACGAACCCTTAACAAAAGCCCTCAATACAGCCTATACATATCATGTCGGCGAATGGTTCAAAAGGACTTCGACTCGTTGCAACCACGGCTCCCGTTACGTAAGGGTTACGATACAGGTTTCAGAAGGATTTAAGGTTTAACTTAGAGAACATGGTGAGGGTATAT